CAGAAATAAAGGAACTAGAGAAGATCCTTGAGTATAAGGACATCTCACTGGAGACCAAGGCCAAGATCATCTACTGTAGCGTATTCCTGATCACTATGTATGTGTGTGAAAGCTGGACAGTGAAGAACACTAACAGGATGAAAATTGATGCATTTGAAACATGGTGCTAGAATAGAGCTTTGTGAACACCCTGAACCAACAGAAAGATGAACAGGTGGCTCCTAGATCAAATCAAGTCAGAACTTTCCTTGACAGCAAACATGATGAAACTGAAGCTGTCATACCCCTGGCGCATCATGAGAAGGCAAAACTCACTGGAGAAGACAGTCGTGCTCAGAAAGTAAAAGGCAGAAGAAGACACCCAAACAGGAGATGGATTGACTCCATAAGGAAAGCTGCAGCCTAAATTCTTGAATTTAGAAGAGCTGAGCAGGGCTGTGAGGGGCAGGGCATGACTTGGTACTTCAAACAAATAGTCATAAAAGAACGGAATACTGAGGGAGAAATGTGTTCCGGACAATGGAGTGGGGAATATATTTTATGTCATGCAAATGATCCTACAGTACTGGGTTAAATACTGGTGAAGAATGGCCCTTGCATTCTGCCTTGATTTCCTCCCTGTTGTCCTAGAATTGCTAGCTAGGTCATTTCCAAGTTTTTACTACTTGTGTTGATGCAAACAGATGTTGAGCACCCTTTTTGCTGTGTTTCTTATAAATGAATATGACCATGTCTCAGGATGCAGGAGGTGAGGTGAGGGAGGTCCCCAAGCCATCTGCCACTCATTCTCACCAGTTATCTTTCTCATCCAACCTGATAGGATTCCCATGAGCCAGCTAATTCTGGAAGAGAGATGGGAAGGCAGGGAGAAAGTGAATGAGAGCACTATCACCCCAGGCTCCTCAGTGTGGCTTCATGTCAAGCACTTTGGGGGCTGTGCATGTGCCAAGAGTATGTATTTAAGAACTTTTTACTCCACTTCTCCCCTCCAAAAGAAGGAGACACGGGAAAGCAGTTTACAAATTGAAAAGCATAAAAAAGGTAAATGCAAACAAGCTAGAAGCAGCAGCAAAAAAATCCCCCCACCTTCCAAAGAACAGTTTATAAATAAAATTAAGCAAGAGAAGGGTCAAGTGTGTGTTACAGAATTGTATTATTTATAACACACAAGAGAAAAACTGTTACTTTATGCATGAAATCAAGTTTTAAAAAATCAATGTAGGATTCATATTGGTTGACTCCGAGCTCAGAACATTTACATATCACAGCTTCATTTAACATACCCCATAAAGCAGCTATTGCATTTTTATTCTGATGGATTTTTTTCAGAATGTTTGCTTTACATTATAACTGTGTTCCCAGAATGGTCTCGATATGTCTGTGTCAGGTAGAACTATTATCCTCCTCCTCTTATAGGTGATAAATGGGGACACGCTTCAGGTCACTATCTTAGTTTTCTTTTCCTGAGATATATATGGTTGTTCTTTTGGTCTTTAGTCACATGAAAGCACTGCAGGTTCCTACTTATTCACCCTTGCCTTCCATTGTTAAAAAATCCATTTCTGGCAATGACCTTAGAATGAATGAATGAATGAACGAATGAATGAACGAATGACTGGCCCAGATCCTCTGAAGCTCAAAAAGAGATGCACGGTGGATGCTGGATTTCTGCCTCTCATATCCTACAATAAATTCTGTGATCTGCCTGAATTCTAGGAGCTGCCTAAAGGCTACGAACTTCCAGGTATCACTCCCCCTATTACTAAAACAGCTGGGAAAGATCCCCAAAGAATGCCAGAAAACCCCACCCTTTCAGTCCCACACGTGAAACTGGCAGGGATGGAGAGCGGTGCATGCATGATATTTCCATGTTGCCAGCAGAGCTTCCTGGGGAAAGTCTCCTAGACATCAGGAGAGGCTCCAGAGTGGAGTGAGCTTTCAGCAAAATGCCCCTGGGGCATCCCAGCAGGCATGCCTGGTGGCAGCAATGTGTGCTTGAGCATTCAGAACACCAGACCATGACAGGAAATGGGGGCTTTGGGCACATCTCCAGTATTCCCATCCAGCATCTCCCCTCTGCTTGCTGAATCAGGCAGGTGCCTGGCTGTAGCCGAATCAGACTCAGTATTAGAGCAACCTATGAGGCAATGGACAGGCAATCAGTCAGGCAGGGAGGCTTAAGCTGAGGATCTTATAAGCAAAGGGCAACACGCAGTTAAGCAGTCAGGGGCAGCTCAGTCCAGAAGCACAGTGAAGTGGGAGTCCAAGGGCTGGTGGCACGGAGGGCCAAGTGCAAGGGGTAGAGCCAGCGTGGTGTGGTGATTAAGACTGCAGGACTGAGACTCCAGTGATCTGGGCTCCAGGTCCCACTCAGCCATGGAGCTCAGTGGGGGACTTTGCGCCAGTCACAGACTCAACCCAACCTAGCCTACCACACAGGGAGGTTGTTGGGAGGGAAAGTTTGAGGAGGAGAAGGAGAGTTATGTAAGCTGCCTTTTCCTTGGAAGGAAAAAAGATGGGATATACATCTAATAAAGAAGCCAATAAATAAATACATAAAGGTACTGGAGCTGAATGAATTGCATGATTTACCTCACTGGTTAGGCTGGAACGGAAAGCTTATATCAGCAGAGCCTCCTAAGCCCCATCCAGGGCTCAGCCATAATTTACCACAGCCCTCTGGCAAGAGTCTTACTCATGAAGAGTCATCTCCTCCCAAGGAATCTTCCATTGCAATCAAACAGTCCTTCTCGGGGGTGGGGGGGGGGGTGTTGGCCTGCCCCTTGCATTATGACTCTCCTGGGAGCCAGAGGAATTGCTCGGTCCTTGCCACAGGAGAAGCATCCCCTGTCCCTTTTAAGGACGGTCCTGTGGCCATCTTCCCTGAGGTCAAGACTCCTCCTGGTCTTCTGACATGGGCTGGTTTGGGGTCCTCTTAATCTCTGAAAGTTCTGGCTCTTTCTCTGAGAAAGCCTTCTCCAGAGGGGTATAAAAGTAGGCAGGCTATGATCTCATATCCATTTGGACCACCATATATATCTGTACGTGCATGTCAGAGGGCAAGAGGGAAACAGGGTTGTACTCTGCAGGGATGCAGAATTTCAGGGCTACGTGAAGTCTGCTGGAGTCACAATATGGCCCTCTAGGCTCTTCAGCTAGCCATTATGCTGGGCCTATGGCTTTTCACCCAACTACTAGTCATTTGGTAGTTTCCTGGTTCTGGAACAGCTTTTGCCCCATTCTAAAAGGTCGGAATTGCTTTCCTAAGGCTCAGTTACTGGCTGTAAGAGCTTTAAGCTAAAATGTGCTGATATTTTTAGTATTTTGGCTCTGACCTGACAGGAAAAATAACAGAGTGCTATCAATAAATTGGACTATTGTTTTCTATTATCTTGATAATGCTCCAAGGCCAAGAAACCACCAAAGGATTGATGCCTGGCTGAAAGAAAAGCTATCTGGAGAATCCTAGGAGGCCATATTGCAACCTCAGGAGGTTAGATCTGACCTCTGGACCTGAGGTTCTGCACCCTGCCAAGGGACATAGCAGTGTCCTGTTTCCTTCTGGCATATGCATGCACACATATCCCTGGGAGATGGTTAAGCCCATCGGTGGAGGTGTTTAAGGATAGGCTGTGCATACACATGGCAGGCATGTCATGAGTAATGCTGACTGGAGCCGGGGGTCAGACTAGATGGCCCAGGAGGTCTCTTCCAACTCACTCTGTTTCTATGTTTCTGTCTTTCTATATACACGGGGACCTAACAAACCACAGGGCTGAAGCTCATCTGCTTTCACCAAGCCAAGGAGAGAGGTTCAGTGGGGATACTGGAGGTGCGTACAGACCTTCTGTTTTCTGCAATGACCTGGTGTTTTGATGGGACAAGACGACAGAAAGCTGCAGAAAAATTTGTGACAGGATATACTATTTTTAAAGAATAACCAATAATGCTTTGTTAAAGATCTGTCCACAAAAGAGACACATGACCTTTAGTACATTCTCTGAGAACAGAGGGCAAGCTCTTAAAAGTGGGGGATTCCTTAAAATCATTAATGTAAAATGGCATCTTTCCCGAGGCTGCTCCATTTCATGATCCAAAGAGTATTTGTGGAGCCAGATATATGACCAAGCTCAGCTTCCAAACCATGCATATCGAGCAACGAAGGAAACAACCCAAAAATGCTTAGATCTGAATTAAAACCTCTAGTGGTGCATGTTTCAGTTCCTTTCATACAGTTTATGTATTCTTTAATCTTCTTTAATTCTTCAGCAAACTCATTTGATCTACAGTTGAATGCTTTTTCCAGCATTGGGTATAATCCTCTCCACCATTCAAACAATTGGCAAGCACATCTTGCAGCCCTTCATCTTTGAAATTACCCCTCTGAGACAGAAATGATCCTGTCTTAAACACACAGCATCATCAGTTTGGGTAAACCGAATTAGCAACATCCCTCAGATAATGTACACATTCTGCTCTCTGAAATGCTGACCAATTTCTTCCATTTCCCCTAGAATTTCAGAAGTTATGTTCCTTCCTATCAGTCCTACACGTCCGTGTGTATGTTCTGTGCCCATCGCATTCTCCTAGTGTTCACTTACTGTGGGCAGCATCCAACAGTCTCATTCCATAAACCAAAGCAGTGCTGGTGGAGTGCCACTGAATCTTGCTGTTGCAAGTTGCACCAGGGCTATGCACAACTGTGTGTGCCACAGGTCGTGCAAGTGCAAGTGCAGTGCACAGCTACCTGCACAACCATGGATGCACAAATTTAACTTAGTTGGATCCTCTTCTTACACATGGCTCAGAACTGCGTTACCACGAGTGCGAACATCATGTGTGCTAATGGACACTGTCGGATAGTGCCTGGTATTTGTTAACTGTTGGCATCTGTGGAGAAGAATCAATATATCTAGCTTGTTCACTGAAAGCTATTCTTGAAAGATCAGCCTCACGTCATGGGCTGAAGAGCATTTTCCATCAACCCTGTGGATACTTACTGGTGGGCCTGGTGGGCCTGCTTTTCCGGGGAGTCCTGGCTTGCCTCGTCGGCCCTGGATAAAGACAAGGAAACAAATAATTACCTTTTTTTTTTTTTTTTTAAAGAGTCAGTTACAGCATGAGAGACTTATTTGGGATAAAGACGTCATTTATTTTTTAAGGGCAAGACTGAATGCATAATATATTAACAGAAAGAATAGCAACCTAGCACACCTTATGCTACTGCCTTCGCTCCTGCAGTGCTAACAAGATGACAGTTGGTAAAACACTGTCAAAGCAGCTGGAGCCGAACTGCATGTATGCCGTGCTCTCCACTCAGCTTCAGTAATCAGCACAGCCCCACCCAGCTGCATTCTTTCTAACAAGGAAGGCACCTGCGATCAAAAGGCTCTCCTAGCCCCTCCGCTTTGGCCTCCATTTCATACTTCCCCTGCTTGCCCAACCTGGTCAGGTTCCTCTCTAAACCGGTAGCTGTGCTAGCTGCCTGTTTGCTTCCAGGCGCAAGGTGCTGGCGATGATGACGCTGAAATGCAGCTTCAGTCGAATGGGTATTAGCAAGCAGCTCATCTCTCATGACTGCTGCGCCTCTGGAGAAGGAGGGCAGAGATGCTGTTTGGAGCGATTCTAATCAGGCAAGGTGCTCTCAGTTTGGAGCTGTCATAGCAGGGAAGGCTGAGGAAGCACAACTTTCTCAGACTTTCAGAAACATCAGAACACCTCTCTGTTTGGGCAGCAAAAGAGTAGTATGATTTAGCTCATGCTCTTATGTTGTGGATTTGTATTTGTTCTGAAGACTTTTTGTGCATATTTGAATTTGGTTTTAAGTCATGTTGTTTCTACCCATAAAAAAACCAGACTAGGAATACTTAAATAACTATGTAAATGGTTTACTCATGGATGGCGCCACCTTTCCAAGATGGCAGCATTGAAGATCTAGCATTCTGGGAAAGCTCAGTGCAATATGCATGCTGAGTCGTATCCACATGGCACTTTCCTCCTACAGCAAGAGGCAGCTTTTATAAGATTTACTCCAGACATGCCAGCATTAAATCTGGCTTCGGACTTGCCACATCATGTAGGGCCTTCAGACCTTCTTATGTTGGGTCAGCTGTTCCTACACAGCAGTTCTAGAAGCACTGAAGACGACTGAGCCAAAAGTAGGTGAGATTTCATGAACATTTGCATCAGTGTCACAGATGCCTCCCCTTTGGGGGATTAAAGTATTAACATCCAGAGAGCGTTGCACTGAGTAGGCTTTGCTTATTTTTAGACCATCTTGTTCACTTCAGTATTTCAGATTGTCTATGCTGATCCATATGATGGCCTAGGAAACAGTGCTCTCCAACTAACTTTTATTTTAGTTTATGGGCTGCTTATTTAGTTTCTTTTCATGCAAGGATCTGAATTTATTGGGTTATGTTTTTGTATTATTGAGGTTTCGTAAACGTTTTTAGTATTATTGGTTTTAGAATGCTGTTCTAATTGTTGTAAGCTGCACAGAGAACCCAATCACGGGCTATGGGTTGCAACATATAAATTGAAATAATAAACAAATGCAATTCTAAGTACATTTTGTTTGCCCTCAGTGTCATCAGCACAGAGCCACATCTGATGGGTTATATTGCATTATCACACCCTGATTATTTAGAATTAATCTAGGAAAGAAAAAATACAATCTAATCAACAGCAGTGAACAGGTTTGAAAGAGATAAACATCACATGTTTGCAATGTTTAGAAAATATTTCAGAAAATTGTACTTTTGACCCTTTCAGTGGCCCTTAATATTCAGCAGAGTCTTTGGTGCCTTCCCTTCCCTGTCTCTCTCAAGGTGCCTCACTGGTACAACCACATTCGTCTGAGAACAGACACAGAGGTGTGCATAGCAGCTGCTGCCCTGGCGAACAAAGAGATGAAGTGCCTCCTTGAACAGATGCTGGGAGCCTAGAGACAGAGCCACATTGGAACAGGATGTAAGGCATAAGTAATATATGCCCCAATGAAATGAATTAGTTCTAAACACTTGAAGATAATTTGTAAAAAAAAAAAGAGTAAATTTACTTTTCCATAATTTTAATTAGTGCTTGTTTTGCAAGATATGGTTCAGGAATAAAAGCATTTTGATGGGGCACTTATCAAAATACAGCAAGATCAGACAAATTACATAACATGCACAGACTGAATCGATAATGTAGAACTGCAGTATAATTGTCACCTTAAGTCATATAAAATGGGTTGTGTATAACACATTCCAAATGTCCTGCTCCCATTTTGCAGACTGATTTTCAACTGCATTGTAAGTGAATTGAATTATGTGCTTCCTATCTATTAATCTCCATTACTTAAGTCGTCTGTCATCTGCTGAGATCCCTAGACAGCTAACCCTTGATTCTAAGAGCTAAGCAAATCTATGTGAATCCAAGACCGAAAAACAGTAGCTTAAAAATGTTCAGCAGCCATGTGCTTCCTGATACCAATTTAGGATCACATGCTTCCTATATGGCCATGTTGTTTTAAGTGAGGCAGTGTGCTCTTAATTTTAGTTCATAACCAAGGTTTTCAGAGAAATGTAGGCTTGTGTTTTAATATCAAACTGTCTGAGGATGTCATCCTATGTGTGTTTAGACAGAAAGGAGTCCTATAAATCCCACAATTTCCCAGCCACCCACCCTATGAGATAGAAATGATAGTTTACTTATATTTCATCTCGCAACACTAAATCTTGTGGCTGAAGCTGATCTTTTCCATTATCAGTAAGTATTATTTTGCAATATTAATATGTATAGCACTTTTGGGGTGCAAGGGGCATTACAACCCCTGCTTTATTCATTATGGGACTCAAAAAGTGGCTTCCTTAAATCATGTAAAACAGACTTGGAGTTACTTGTAACTGGTTGATATTCAAAAATCCACATGTGCTGCAATGTATGAGCAGGGGTCCATATGCGCCTAACATCTGCATTTGCTTTAGCAGTACATGCAGAGGATGGTCTCTACTGCCACAGTAGTGAATGGGAAGACCTTGTGTGCAGTGGAAGTCCATGTTATGCATGAGAGTTCCCCCCATGGAAAGGACCCTATATCAGACTATTCACATTTTGAACCCAAGTGTCATGCCCAGCTTATAAATTAAACCGGCCTTTTAAATAAATAAATGAAATATGTGAACTGAAATAATTGAAAAATGGATTGCATTTAAACCAGGTTCTCTGATTAGTTAAAACCAAATACTGATGACTGCGTTAAAATACTTTCCTGTTCCTGCCTGCTATTTAGGGTGTGCTGAGTTTAGGGTGACACTTCAAATCAATACAGTCTAAACGAAGTAGCAGGGCAGTATTAAGTGAAGGAAGATGAGATTTATATTGACATTTGCAACTGTGCCTCAGGTGCTAATTACCCCAGGAAAACATGGAATAACCCGCAAGCCATTTTTTAAGATCTCATACAATTTATGACGGATGTTGCTGAGTCAGAATGGACATCACAGTAAATAGGATTCCAAAACTACATTTCCTTTTGCATGGCGGTCATTAATCATGTCCTACTGAAACATGCCCAAGCGCTATTTCCTTGTATTCTGTTTCTATATTGATCACTGTCACATGTAAATATGTATAAATAATTATATACTTAGACAGAATATCTAAACATATATGCTTAAGGAGGTAAAGACCTATTTAGACTGCAGTGTAGGAGCAGATGTATTATAACAAAAAGCTTGTTTCCAATGTTTTTTGTCGTATTACTCACTTAAAAAAAACTACATTAGAGTTCATAAAAACCAAATCTTACTATTATGTAGTGGAATCATGGGTTTAATCTAATGTTCTAGATTAGCACCAGGAAGATTGCTAAGGTGACGGGGTTTTCTTCTTCGCTCAATCTACCCTCCAGTGCTGCACACCATTCAAAAATTGCTCTGGAGCAGATTTGGAGGGGTGCAGGTGGGGGACTAGAGAATCCCCCCTCCCAGTTTTGCTGATAGAGCTGCTCTGTCAGCAAAATAACATAAATACCTTAAGGACTAGTTCAGAACCAGTCCTAGTGTGAATCTCCACAAAAAATCAGGGAATGGATGGATTGCTAGAACCTTCACTCATGAAGCTATCTGTACATGTGTTCCTTGATTCTCATTAAATACAGGGTGTGGGGAAAGCCCCAGAAACTAAAACTTTTCCTCCACCCTTGCTGCTTATGTAATTGATATACCTGGATTGTATGCAAACCATTCCCAAGTGACTCAATATCAAGAATTTTGGATTATGCACATTACACCTCTGCATAAACACAGCTCACTAATGCTGTAAATAATGCTATAAACTATAAATACCTGATATACATTATAGTCTTGGTTTTTGAAATTTGAACTTCTAGTAGTAAATGATGCAAATATTGTATGCAGCACAAATCTTTTTGGCTGTTCCAAGTTTCTACTGCATCATCTTAAAATCAGAATACACTGGCTTTGCTCTAGCTAAGCATGGGTAAAGCAGCTAAGAATGTATGTGTGTTACCCCATTTAAAAACATGGACTCCTCCTCTTTATCAGGCAAGGAGAAAGAAAAATATCCAGCTCCCTGCTTCACTCCAAAACACTGCTCAGCAAATTTCAGCATTTGGATCTGACTGTTGCCACATTATGCTCACAGTATGCAGGAACTGGGACTGGGGATGTCTGAGAAATTTGCAATGAATTCAGATGAATTTGGATTTTTCTCAATCTGATCTGCAGATTCTGCAGCAGACCACTCTGTGTATTTGCAGAACATTTTTTTTTAAATGCTTATTTGCAAGTGTACATTTGAGCTAGTACCCTAATTACTGAATATTTGTGCTACTACATATGCATATTCATTATTGTGCACTTGCAAATGAACGAATTCTCATACAAAATTGTCAATTCCATCAAAGAGATGACCATGGAATAAAAGAAATGTGACAATCCATGAAACATAAGCTGAATAAACAGGCTCTCTCATTAAAACTTGGGGTTTTTTTAAACCTCAAGTTCAGCCCTTCTTCTTCAGCAGACTGCTCTGGCCTTTCCTCTTC